TTGTAAGGTAAAAACAACATAAAGCCAGGCCCTTCCAGTAACTAAATGCTCTTGGAAAGTGTCCAAAACAATGTTAGTAAATTTCCAATTCATCTCATCTAAGATCAACAAAAACAAGTTATCTGAAACACTGGATTATATTTAAATAGGCTCTAACTAAAAGTTTTACATGACCGAATCACTCAGCAAAAAATCTTTGTACTTTTTACTTAGGATGGTATCTAAGACCAGTAAGTAACAGGATTGGGGGGGGGGGGGGAGGTTTGCTGCATCTAGAAATTTAATCACATATTACTTAATATTATCTTGAGAAAATTTTCAATACCACTAGCTTTCTTTTGGAGAGAAGCAGACTTCGGCAGAATCTGCAAAAATCATCATTTGCAGTAATACTAAAAATCTCCATAACTTCTATAATGTGGACAAACATGTGGTGGTGCAAACTCTGATTCCAAGCTTGAGTTTTTTAAAGCTTGTTACTTGTGGCTCAGATTTCTTTTTTATGGGTTGTATGTCTGATAGGTATACACTAATTTCATACAAAAACAAACATAAAGGTGCTTTATATATGTGAATGTACATATATGACACTTCAGACAAGCTGTGATTTATATACATGAATGTACATATAAGACACTTCAGACAAGCTGTGATTTCCACTCAAAGAGCTTTTTTATAAAGTTCTAGTAAATTGAGAAGTAAAAGCCAACAGTTAAAAGAATAATCTAGCCAAACAGCAAAGGGAGCTATAAAATTTAACCTGGAAGTAAAAAAAAAACCTAAATAAAGCAGAAACACAAAAGGAAAAACTCCAGCACACTTTCACTGAGCTTGTTAAAGTTTATCTATAAATGTTAACCTTTTTTAAAAGTTGAGGAGTATACCAATTTTCACTTGTGAAAAGTGACATCCTAGGATAAATTTTTAGTTCCTAAGAAAAATAAGTCAAGTTTAAAGATCTGCATACAAAAATACCAGAAAAACTGCAAAAGAATAGAAAAAGCAAACATGATTTTACAGGAAACATGGAACCCACCTGAAACATTAAAAGTGGGATGGACTCACTAAAATGAACAAAAGATCCAAAATGAACAAATTAAGCATAAATACTCCCAGTGTGTTTAACATCTTCAGGAACAAGCAATGCCATCCAATCAATACTTGCTACAAAAACTGCCATAAACTGATCACTTCTTTTTTTTTCAAACCATGAAACAAGGAAAGATTTGTTGCAATATATTTGTAACTTACCAATACTGAGCTGTTAAGTTTCTATTAGATGCTTGAACTAAGGATCTGTGCTAAGAAGACTGAAATCTATTCAGACAGCAGTGAAAAATGAAGCCTCACTAAAGACATTCAAGATAAAGCTGACCCCTAAAGGCTCCTTGGTGCACATTTGCAACCACAGTATTCACAGCACGCAGTACACTAAACTAGCAACAGATTGGTTAAAAACAGTTTGAATTTTCAACTTCTCATTACACAGGCAACATTTTTAGAAGCAATCATATTAAATAAATGTGTCCTTCACAGTTACCGGATGAAATTTTAAGCTGGACAGGCACCAATGCCCTGATTTTCTACTTTTTTCGTAAACCATATGACTTCCACATGCTGAGACTGTTTTATGCTTTAACCTGCGGTAAAGGCTTTACATCATTTTAATGCTCAGTGCCTAAAATGCAACAGAATCATCCCATCGAATGCAAGGAATATATTTGGCTTCAACCAAACCACTAGTCAGAGAAAGTTTAATGAATGCTTTTCTCAGTAACTTTGCATTTCCATAGAATAAAACAAAATCTGAGGTGAGGGTAGGGGGAAGAGAATATATTCTTATATTTTAAAGTTTTCCAACTCTAAACAAACATTTTAGTTTTTTTATTTATAAAACAATCATTGAACATTTAAAGACACTGTCTAGTAGAAATATATTTCCGCAGAAAAGCACTGCTACACGCAGTTATATAGGATAGGATATTTCTCCAGTTTTTGCAAAGGCAATATTTCAGGCTAAAATAAAGATTAAAACAAATAATTCTGGAAATTCTAGCCAATAACAAACTAAAAACTCAGCTTTGTATCAACATACTGTATATCCTAAGTTTGAGATTTAGAAAAAACACAACCTTTTTTTTTTTATTCGGGTCAATCTAAATAAATATGCTACCTCATACTTATAAGTCAGCTTATCTGTGTAAATGACCAACCACAGAAATTTCAAACCATAGATTATAAAACATACCATATAATTACATACGATGTAACTTCCAGTTTTTATAGTAGCTAAAGTCCTTTACTGATAGGTTCAAGAATTGATAAGCCAAATATGTAAATATATTAAATTCTCAGCAGTCGAAAAGACAAATTATGCCAATTTCTTTATTTAAAAGTCCATTATACTAAAAATATGTGACAAAACAATGGTTACTGAAAAACTTACATTTCCGGGTGAAATTAGTACAAATTATATTATCTTAATTCTTCTGTTGTAATGCTTTTAAATATTAAAGACTGAGAAACAAGGGATGTTGCAATCCTCTTCCCTTTGTAACTCCAATTGAAACTCGGGAGGAAAAAATCAGAATTCAAATTTCCCAACCTTGACTTACACACTTAATTCAACTAGATCTAACTCAGCTGTGCAATTTTAAAATAAGTTTAACGCAAAGCACTACAATCTTAATGTGATAATTACCTGCGGAATAAATGCAAATTAAAAACAAATGCAGGTCCTCTTCACCGAAAGATGCATCTTACAGCAAAACCACTCAAAGCACAACCCCATAGAACCAACTAAAGAAACGGGCAGCATGTCCATCAAAGAGAAACGTACCATGCCAAAACAGAAACGAAGCCCTGAAGGGAGAGGGGAAGGCAGGCAGGCAGGCAGGCAGGCAGAGAGAGACGGCAGAGGTTTCCACACCTGCAGGATCCCACAGAAATTAACCAGTCACTTCACTTTACCCTACATGCTACGTAAGATTTTTAAAGCTTCGGGGTAAATAAAAGCGGTAAGCACTCTATACCATCCTTCAACTTTACACAGTATAGTATTTGTAATGCCAACTGCATTCTCCCCTTCACTCACCCAACGTTTCCTCTCGCTTCCATACCAGCTTTCAGCCAAATGCGAGACAGAACAGGGTGGGGTAGAAGAAAAACACAAGCTGCGCCTTTTAGCGACTCCCCACGCACCCCCCAACAATTTCCAACAGTTTTTCCTACTACGAAAATAAGTCACCCAACCACAGGATACACAACAGTCATTCCGTGTCTTCAGCAGACACACAGGGTCGCGTACACAAGTGGGCACTCCCGACCCCCACCCCTCCGCCCCCGAATCTTAAGTAATGTTTCATCTATGGAAGGCGAAGACGACCAACGAGACCTACTGTTTCGGGGTGAGGATGGGTGGAGGACTCCTTTCCAAGTAGCCCCAATAGTGTAACCAAAACACGGTTCCGGAATAAAATATTAAGAACACTTTTCCTTTCCCACCTAGCTACCGACTTGAGGATGCAAAAAGCCATCTCCACCGCACCTCATCTCTCCGAGGCGCCTGCCCTGAGTATGGGGTGGAGGTGGGTCCCGGGAGACGGGGAGGAGGAGTGTGAGCCGCCGATGGGACACGAACGAGTTGCTCCCCGCGGCCACTCCGCGCTGCTCCGCTAGCCCAGAGGTCCCGGAGCCGCACCTCGCGCACGCCTCTCCGCCCAGGCCCAGCTGAAAGCTCCGACTCCGGCTCTCGAACTTCCTCTCCAGAGACATTTATTCAAGGCTAACCCATCGCCCGAGCGCACGTCACCCAGTTTCAAACACAGCTCTGCACCCCAAACAAACCCACGCACCTCAAATTCCCCTCACAGTTTCCCAAACTCCAAACTGGAGACCCCACCTCCAGGATTCAAACCTTCCGCCCACTGGGGAGGCAACCAGGGGAAGAGAGTTGGGAGCACCCGACGCCTTTCGATTACCGCCCCCACAAACTGCCCCACCCCAGACCCTGCGTTCGGGTCACCCCCTTGAAACCCCCCGCTTCCTTCCTCCTCTCAGTTGGGCCGCTTAAGAGACCCATCCCCAGCCCACTCACTAACTCGCCCCAACCCCCCCCCCCCCAAAAAAAAGTGAAGAGAAAGAAGTGAGGAAAGAGACTGAAGAGACTTGAGGCTTCCAAACCACTCGACTCACCTCAGAAGGCTTGCTGAGTTCTCTCCGCCCGGCACGGCCCCCTCCCCAACGTCCCGGTACGAAGGGCTGAGGTCTGAGGTAGGGAGGAGGGGAAAGCGGGAGGGGGAGGGGTGTCTTCCGCGTGGGGCGCCCGTCGGGAGGGGTCTGGGGAGGGGTTGAGGCCGGCGCAGGAAGAGGAGAAGGGGGAGGGGAGGCCCCTATCTCCCAGTCTCCCCCTGAAAAACCTCCCTTGTCTCAATCACATCAGACTGACTGTCTTTGTCTGGCTGACAACCGCCATATTGATATCAACAGCCCCGCTCCCACCTGCTGCCACCGGGCGGCCCTGGGAGTTGTAGTTTTTGTCTCCCTTGAGTAAAGGTGCGGGACTCTGCGTCCGGAGGCCCCAGGGAACTACAGCTCCCGGCAAGTACCGCGCCCGTGAGCCTTCCCACAGGGAGGAGGGGAAAGGGGCGCCAGAGCCGTAGGGACTACACATCCCAGAATACCATGGATTCTGGGCCCAGATGAGGGACATGATATCATGCTGGGGTGAAGAGGGAGGATGAATTGGCGGCGCGGATGAATTTGAGCTGACGGAAGGAGGCGTCCTAAGAGGAAAGAGAGGAAAAGGAAAGATGACCACGGTTCCCATGATTCACGGAGAGATGACTACATTTCCCATGATGCGCCGGGAAAGGGGCGTAGGAAAGAAAGACTGCATGTCCCGCCATGCTCTCAGCGGGCCCGTGGCGGAGATTGAACCGGAAGACGCTTTCTGGGTTTGAGAAGTCGAGGTACTGCTGCTGACCAGCCAAAAGTCCAGCATGAAACTGGTGAGTCTCCTCTCTTAGATCGGAGGGCATATCCTTTTGGAATTCGTCGTTTCCATTTTGGGAAGGGAACCGTCGCGGACGAGGGGTGGCAGGGAACTAGAAGGTGGGGTGAAGCCAGGAAACGTGATGTTTGTTGTTGAGTTTGAATTCCAACTCAGACCCTTCAGAACTGCTAGATGATGTAATTCATCCCTTGGCGCGGCCCTTTGGTTAGATAAGAGATTGAATCTTGTCACCTTTCTTCACATACGAACCAAGGTTGGGCTTTATGAACCAGGTTTGATTTGTTTCTCGGCTGCCACGTGAGTGTAATAGTTGGTACACTTCTTTCCACGGGATTGACACTTGATTAAGCGTTCCTTTTTACAGTTGTTGAGAAGGTTTGGTAACATGAACAGAGTTTAGAAAATTCTAGGCGGATCTTACTCTCTTATTTAATTCTCTGTTATAGACTGCTAACTGCCCTTGATCATTCAAAGGAGGTCAAAGTCAGAGTGTGACCTCTGATGGTTTGAGTCTTAAATTCTGTATAAGATGGGCTGAGTGGAACTGTTACATGGCGTTACAGTCTAGAGCTGTAGGGACTGCGTGAGCTAAGGTCATGTGGAGCATGCCAGAATACCTGGAAAAGTTTTGCAGTACACAACTCAGACGCTTGGCTTATAGGAAAGCTGCTCAGGCTTTTGTTTTGAGCCCTTTTATTCTCAGTGTGCACAGATTTAACTAATTTACTCCAACTAATTAACTGGAAATAGTAATAGCATAATTTGAGTAGAGAAGGTGTGAGATGCTGTTTCTCAGGCTTTAAAAGTCATGTTCCTGCAGCCAGGTATTGTCAGGCTTTACTTTCTGAAGTTTTTGAGGAAAAACAAAAGGTTTCTCTTAATTATTTGAGCATGCTTTTTTGCAAAGTCCGTGTGTATGTCCCTACACACGGTACAAGCATATATATCATGCACAGTGTCGGCTGTTCTTTGAGACGTCAGAGAACATAAGAAAAGTGGATTCAGTTCCAAAACTATCTCTATCTAAAGCTGTTTCTGTTAGGAGAAGGGCACACAGTTCAGTAAACCTTGAGAGTATCAATTTGCTTTTGGGTCAGTTTTCCAAACATTTCAAAATGCAGAATTGAAAGTCACCACCCTTGTCTTAAAGAAGCATGCAATCTAATGAAGAAGATACAAAGTAATGAAAAAGTTATAGTTCACCTGCATCTGGGTGAACAGAGTGGTCATGTTCAGGGTTTGGGGATTGAGAGGATACTGGGGGTGTGTGGGGAGTCAGATACAGCTCCTTTGGAAAGGTAGTTCTTGAACTGATAAGAAGGTCAAGTGGGCTCCGGCCTTCCTTGAAGAGGGTTCAGCTGATAGAAGCCAAAGAGTTTGGCACCTAAGTGGTAGAAACACAGACCATGTTTCGTCAATAAAAGATAAATCATGGTTCATGTGTGTGGTGTGAAGGCAGGCAAGTGGGAAGCAGGTTTCTTTTCCTATAACAACTCATTTGCTGAGGGTATCAGAGTTAGGTTTTAATTTACATATACTTTGGCTTGCATATAAAATTCTCCTGCTTACTTTATTTAGAGATGTGAAAACATGAGAAAAGTAGAAACTTTTTTTTCCCTTTAAGAACCATAAAATGCCTCAGAGGAAGAGAAATTATTCTTTCTATACTCCCTTTCTCTTTATTGTTCATCCACCTAATAACTAAAACTCATTTGGTACTTGATGATTTATAATGCAGGAGTATCTTTCAACACAGCTAAGTGGTTTCAGAAACATTGACAGCAAGTTAGACTTCTTTTTTGTCACGCTTCCCATACAGTTGGGCTTTCCAGGTGGTGCTAGTAATGAAGAATCCGCCTACCAGTGCAGGCAACTCTAGAAATGCGGGTTCGATGCCTAGGTCAGGAAGATCCCCTGGAGTAGGAAATGGCAGCCCACTCCAGTATTCTTGCCTGGAAAATTCCATGGGCAGAGGAGCCTGGTGGGCTACAGTCCATGAGATTGCAAAGATTTGGACACTACTGAGAGTGACTAACACTTTCATTTTTTCTTTGTGATATCAGGCAACTTTATTTGAGGAAAATTCATCTTCAGTTAATCAGGACAATTTTGAAAAGAACAGGAAAATTAGAAACATATCCTCTAAATTAGCACATTTTAGAGCCTATTCTCCTTTTAGTATCGATTGAGCCTAATTGGGTATACCCTGATGGCCAAATTCAGCAAAGCATAGAAAATTGAACTCACCAGGGTCTTTAACAAAAGACTTTGGGAGCCACCCCGCCCCCTGCAAGAAAAACCAAATTCATCGACAGAAATCAAGTTTGAAACATCATGGCTAGGAATTTAGTCATTCAAATAGATGAATGTTAAAGTGAGTAAAATAACTAGCTGTTCAAAAACGCATCATTTGTCATACTTCCTGTAGATAGTTCCAGAGCTGGAGAGAATCTTCTAGTTTATTCAGTCAACAAGGATGACTGAAACCACAGTATACCCGTGGCATTCAAAGTTTTAATACTTTCCATTTTAACTATTGAATTTGACCCCAAGGATTGATCACATGGAATTATTTGTAATTTTGCTGAGACGAAAGTTTGAGTGTGATTTTAAGGTGAATAATAATCCTTAGTGAAATGAGCCTGATTGCCTCAGAATCCAGGACTTTCTGCAGTTCTGTTGCTTTCTTGTTAAAGATCTGAAAGAAAGGTCACTTAAACGCTCGTTCTGTGCTGTATTCTGAATTTGATGGAGAAAATTATATGCTGTAGTTGTATTTATGAATTTAAAACCTCAGGAAGGCCATGAGTTATTTTCTCCAGTGGTCTGGGCTCCTTTGTACAAAATGCTGTTTCATTACTACTGGCTTGGAGCGGGGACGGGGAGGCACAAACTTGTAACTCACCATTTTTCTTAGGAAAGCAGATGGAGCAAAGAAATGGATTCATGGGCCACTTCCAGCTGAGGACAGGTAAAGCACCAAGTGGAATTGTAGAGTTGAAAGCAAATACTGACTTGAAAAGGGCAAATCCTGCTTCAAGGTCAATTTAAGAAACATTAGGAAGGGATGTGCTTAATCCTTACCTTGGATCTGAGAGCAGTGGATTCTTCATGCAGTTTTAAGACTTGCAGAATCCTTTTGGCTTCTCAAACTTTGGATCAGGAACAGAAAATGGCTTGCTGTAAATAACATAATTTTACCAGGACTTAATTCACCTCTTTCAGTACAATTGTTAAAATGTCAACCTGGTTTCACTAGCTCTGTGTTTCTCTTCGCTGGCTGATTAGAGCGCCCTCGTGTGTCTCTATGGTGTAATGTCGTTCCAAGCTTCAGAAAGGCCCTTTCTATCACCACCTCAGTGTGATACGGTTTTTTCCCTGTAGAATGTTTTCCTCAAGCTCTGAAAACTGACATAAGGCCCAACCACTGTTCAGTTGTGCTCGGATTAAACTGGATATTTTACTCTTGGGCATTTCTAAGTCCTGGCGGTGACTGAAGATTAAACCTTTTATACTTAAGGCAAACAATATATGTACACACCAATGTGAGTAACAAATTAAGAGGAAAATGTTATATTTGTGTATATGTAATAGGCTTCCGTGGTGGCTCAGACAGTGAAGAACCCACCTGCCAATCCAGGAGACCCGGTTCAATCCCTGGGTCAGGAAGATCCCCTGGAGAAAGAAATGGCAATCCCCTCCAGTATTCTTGCCTGGAGAATCCCATGGACAGAGGAGCCTGGTGGACTGCAGCCCGTGGGGTCGCAAAGAGTTTGACATGACCGAGCACACACACACAATCTGACATACAATACAAGCATGACAGCATTGCTGCTGCTCTTAACTGCAGTAACACGTTTGTTTTGTAACTGGCTTGCCCTGAGTACTCAGATCCCTCTGCCATTTGCTCTGTCAGTAAAGTGTACTTTGAAGGTCTAGGGCCCAGAGTGCAGCGTGGCCGTGGAACTAGCATTCCAAATGGAAAGCTCGCTCCTGGCTTACTCAGCACCAGCAGAGGTCCAGGCAGAAAGTGCCCTTCAGTCATCATCGCTCATTTATTCACTCACCAGATCTTCCTGAACATCTGCCTTCTCTGTGCTAGGCATTGCTTAAGGTAATGGATATATTCCAGTGGAGAAACAGATTTACTCCCTGCCTTTACGGGAAATAAAGTCTAGCAGGCTCACTGTGCAGTTCGACAGTATTACAGTGAGCTTTCTGATGGAGAGATATCACTGGGCACTGGCTTCAGTAGACTTTTTGTTTTTTAGTACTTATGTATTTGTTTGGATGTGTTGGGTCTTAGTTGTGGCACACAGGATCTTCTTGCATCATGCTGGATCTTTGATTGCAGTACACGGACTCCCTAGTTGCGGTGTTTGGGCTCCAGAGTGTAGTTGCAGCACTAGGCTTAGTTGCCCCTGGGCAAATGGGGTCTTGGCTCTCTGACCGGGGCTCATACCTGTGTCCTCTGCATTGCAAAGACTGCTTTTAACCGCTGAACCACCAGGGAGGTCACTCAAGTACTTTTTAAATGTTGGTATTCTGTCACTAAGTCGTGTCTGACTATGACCCCATGGACTGCAGCATGCCAGGCTTCCCTGTCCTTCACCAGCTCCCGGAGTTTGCTTGAACTCATATGCATTGATTCAGTGATGCAATCCAACCATCTTACTCTCTGTTGCCCCCCCAAAATGTATTTAATGGTATCCTAGAAGATGCCTCCTTAATATTGTAACAGACATGGCCAGCTTGCCCACTGGCTTAACCATTGTACTAGTAGTGTATGAGAATATATTTCCCCACCCTTGCCAAGGATGCCATCTGTTTTTTTAACTATATGTCTTACTAATGTAATCGTCTCCTTTATGAGTTCTCACATCCTCTTGTCTCTTAGATTGAGCCACATTTAGTAAAACGTTCTTACAGTAGTGATGTGTGGATGTGGGAAAGTGTATCAGATCTCTTCAGATAAAAAAGTGGTGCCATAAGAAT